TATATGTGTGTGTGCATAAAATATATTTCTTTAACAATTAAATTCTTTGGCATTAAATTCAGAAATACACACACAATGATACTACAATCCTATCATAGCTTCATCTCGGAAGTAAATTCAGAACCAAAAGTGGTTAATTATTTGATCAACAGGCAAATTTGCCTTCGACTGGGTGGCGCTCAGTTGGATCACGCAGTTTGAGTCTTGCTTGCAGCTGTCTGACAGAGTGTTACTGTATGTAAACATCCTTCATTTCACACTATGTGCCCCCCTGTACTATTCTGGGTTTTCACAAGATTACAAGTTGCTAAGATTAACAAAAAGAGCATGAGATAAAGATTCATTCACGATGATGGAAAATGTCATATCATTTGTAATCATAACTTAAGTGTGGAACAAGTAGGACAGCACAGCTTTAAGTGTCTAAAACGAAATCCTTCTAGTAAAAATACTCTGTAAAAATTCAAAAAGTATATTTAGCAGTCAAGTAGTTAAATAATAACATTAATGATGCAGGGTATTTCCCCTTTTAACTGTAGCACTAGCTTACCTCGAGGACAGACTTTCTGTCTGCATGGATCTGCATGACGCTCTCGGCCCAGTCCATCATGTTCTCCCCTCGGGGCACTTTAACCCTCTCGTGTTTTAGCCGTCCCACACGAAACTCGCCTGGGTCATCCCGCCGTACTGTGGTGGCTGGGCGAGAGCGCTCCATTGTGGCTTCCCGGCGGTTCTGGAGCCACACGATTGCCCTGCAGAAAGGGAGTTTCAAGGTTACTGCAAGATAAGCAGGAAATGCTTCTTCAGTTGAGGCACAGGCTTATGATAGATGGACAAACACAGGGGATACAAATAGAGGGCAAGGCTGGACCTTGAGGCTCCGAATGCAGTACATGTGAAGTAAAGCTGCCGGGTCTCAAAAGGGATGAGGAAAGGGCACTTGCTGGTGAGCTGCTCACACCAGTCTGGGAGGGCTCCACTTGCCAGTGCCAGCGGCTCCTGAAAGCCAGAGGCACAGCAAGGCAGTATGGCTTTAAGTTAAAAACAGCACGAATGCATGTTTGAAGACCTGCAGACTGAACAACAATTTTCACTTAATCACCTCTATCTGTTGAAGAATTTTGGTAGTGATTTTTTTGCTTGTGAATTCTTCAGGTGGTGCATTAAACTGCACATCATCTACTTCTAAAAAAAAGGAAGAAAGGAAAAGATTTAATAAGAAGCACAGAACACTGACATACTGTTATATTGTACATCTTGGCATTGCGGGAGTACCTGGAGAACTGCATCATAAAATTTCAAGGCTCTTATACCTGAAAACATATATTCTATCCACTATGCTTCAAATTAAAAACATTCATGAGGAATTATGACTCAGGTATAGAAAATGAGATTTAATTTAAGCTACATGCTTGTCACAAGCTTGTTAGAAGGCTACAAAGCCTGTTAATGTTACAAAATTTGGTTACATTCTCTCTTTTGCAGTAGTAGTCAGGTAAAAGCAGTGCATTTGAGGACAGATGGCTCATATACCCTCCTGTAGCGTGCGGCTGGAATGCGGCTCACTCCCGATGATGAAGAGGATGCGCAGCAGCTGCAGGACGTCCTCAACCCCACACGCGCTCTGGCCTGGGCCGGCCTTGGCCTGCGCCTGCTCCAGAGTGCCGCTCAGGATGTCACAACTCTGCATAGCCAGAGAGCCGGGGCTAAGGCCTGAGGACCGGCAGCCATGCTCACAGAAGTCCTGCAAGGGGGCACCACGGTCGTTCAGCAAAGAAACACTCTACTTTAGCTTTACTAACAATTCTCTGTTTTTGCACCATTAAAATAAAAGATGGCTCAAATCAACCCAAATGGACATCTCAGAATATATAATACATAACCCATCATTAACGAACTATCCAGAAGGACATCTACGTCGAAATGCATTACAGCCATGAGCCACTTAAGTTAAACAGGAGCAATTGTCCAACAGGTACTACATAAGCGACAGTCAAGCAAGAAGGGAAAAATTAAATAAACCACATCAGAAAAGGGGAAATGAAAAAAAGAAAAAAAAAAAAAATATATATATATATATATATATATATATATATATATATATATATATATATATACATATATATATACATACATACACATATACACACACACACACACACACACACACACACCATCTGATGCCGTTCTATACCTTGTATGCAGCTATGAGCTGTGAACAATTTCTGTTTTTCCTAATACTTTTATTAGTGCCGGTTAATTTCCAGTGGCGCAGGAAAGATGAGTCTGCATTCTTCTGCATGTAGGTTATCAAGTCATTCTTTGGTAATTCATCAGTGCCAAGGTACTGTTCCACATGCTCTACAGACCAGCAACCCTACAACAGGAAGAACCAAATGTTGGTCTTTCCTGATTGTAAAGTCTCACGCAACAGACATGCATTACAATAGGAGTACCACTAGACCCATGCAATTATTGGGGGGGGGGAATCTCTAACAATTTTACTTTTGAATAGAGATTAGTGAGGTCCCTGTCCACTAAAGGGCATAGAGACATTTAAAACAGCCACAGTTATTCACAGCCAAGAGTAGATGGGTTAGCAAGAGGGATGAAAGGGAAGGAAACAGAAAAAGCCTATTACCATCTTTCCGCTCACTTTCTCTTTGTCGGAATCCTTCATTTCTCTGTACATTATCCTAGAACAAAAACAAAAAGCGTGCATGACACACACTGTTCCAGAACAACCCAACCATATGCAGCTCTGTGTCATGCACCACCATGAAATGGGCTTACGTGTATGTGGGCTCCCAGATCCGCCTGAGTTTATCCGACTTGATGCTCCCGTTACAAGAGAGCTGCAAGAGTTTCTGGACATAGTAGAAGATGGTTGACTTATAGTTGGTGAGTGGCAGCTCCACCTCTCGGGTGGTGCCCAGTCCAGCTACCTTCAGAATAAGAGTCAGGTGTGGAGAGGGAGCACATTCCACCTCCTCCAGGACCTCAGAGCGAGGAGTACCTGTGGGCACCAGGTCAGCACGTCTTACTGTTACAGTAAAGCGAGGCTGGGGAGGGTACTCCAGGCTAGATGGAATCAATCCATTATTCAACATACTTATGATAAAAACCGTTTAATGAATGAAGAGGGCAAACATACAAAGGAGCTTTGAATGACTATTGCGTTATATTCTGAAAAAAGTACAGCTCAAACAACTCAAAATGGCAGTTATACTGAGAACTCAAAATTGAAAGTCTACTATAAAAATAAGTTCATTGTTAGCTTACAAACGGTTTTACATTTACAGTGAATGAACACACATCTTTTTACATCACCAGAAGCTGTTTTACTTTGTGTTGTCTGTATTTGAAACCTATTACTACATGAATTTTATTTAATTGTAAAAACCTGCCATATATTCTTAAATGCTGCGTAACAATATATTATTTTTTTAATGACAGACAGTACCAATCTGTAATTCTTACTTTCCCAAGATAGTATGAAAAGGCAGGGTAATGGAGAGCAGTGCTTTGCAGCTCTGGTCCTGGCAGCACATTATTGCTGATTTGTTCCATATAAACTGCAAGGGATCCTCAAATGACCCATCACTAGAACAAACTGTACAATTCAAATTAAGATTCAATGGAATTTGGAGGATCATGTGTGTTTCTCATGGAATTGGCTAAATTAGAAAACAGGTGTGATTTCTGGCATTCAGTGCATGTAATATTCATTTGATAATATCTAGAACAGAGGTCACCAACCTACTTGAAACAGAGCTACTTCACGGGTACTGAGCCATACGAAGGGCAACCAGAACAGACTTTACCTAAACTTATCTAAACTTCATGTATAATAAACATGTTTTAAATGCTTTTTTTTAGATATTGTCATTTTCATATCTATGTAAATGTAAATGTGATTAAAGAAGAACAGAAACAAGGATAAAATGAAATTTTAGATGCTGCTCACTGGTGAGTTGTGCTATTTTTAGAACTGGTCCGCAGGGCGACTAATGTGGTCCTTGAGTTCATCCTGGTGCCCGTGGGCACCATGTTGGTGACCCCTGATCTAGAATATCTATGTGATATATATATATATATATATATATATATATATATATATATATATCAGTGGTGGCTTGATGGTTAGGGTAGCGCACTTGTAATTGAAAGATTGCAGGTTCGAATCCCCCACCAGCAAGTCACCACTGAGGTACCCTGAGCAAGGGTCCTCAAGCACTGCTCCCCGGGCGCTTAATTAGCTGCCCCCTGCTATGTCACGAAAGTCACATATGGGTCAAATGCAGAGGTCACATTTCGTTGTTGCGCACTGTGTGCTGTGGTGTGTTGACAATGACCACTGATCACTAAATAAAATAAAATCTATTTGAAAAATACTAATGTTACAGAAACTGGTTTCAGAAACTTGCCAGTAGCACTGTAATAAAAAGCATGTTGCACTACCTGGCGGAGGGATCTCCAGGTCAGTGGTCTGCTGGACGTTTGTCCGGCCAGGTCTGGGGTCGAATGCTGGCACTAAGGCAGAGAACTGACGCTTCAGCACAAAGTCATCATCCCAGGTCCGACGCCGGCCTCCCTTGGTTTCGTACTCTTCCTCTTCCTAATGTAGACATGATAGACAGAAAGACAAGCTGAAGACAATGAAAAGCATGGAAAATTTTCATCTGAGGATTTGAGGTAACACAAATATTTCCATGAGACTCCATCATAGCATAACTGTACAGTAACAACTGTAGTTTTTTTACAATTAACGTTACATGATAAATGCACATGGAGCTAATTCAATGACTTCCACATACTGACTCAAATTTTATCTGAAAGTCAGAAACAAAGCTATGGCAGCCTGTTTGTAGTATTATGTACTGAAACTGGGACTGAGGCTAAGGACAGAAAATAAAAATAAAAATTAAGTAATATTTATTTTAAAAAGCAAACAAAAACAAATACAAAGCATTTAAAAAGTTTTGAACAACCAAAATGATTAAATTGATTTCCATATATTAAATAAAAAGCAAACTCTGCAAAGTACATTCACGATCTTTTACAACAGGGTCACATACATATTTTTAGGCCAATTAATGACCACAGGTTTTATCCTATTTGAAAGAATGATTAACATTCTTCTACACTTGGAAGTTAACAATATTTCCTTATCATTTTCTCTTTTAGCACTATCTACAAAACATCTCTTATTTCATCATAATTTTACACAGATAGTTGTAGACAAATAACACAAATAAAATGATTTATGATGTTTATGATTTAAAGTTTTTTCAGATAACTGAAACTGCGGTAACCGAATCAGCAAATACATACCCTCTGTTCCACTGTATTTCAAATTACTATACAGTGGTACCTCAGTTCTCTAACTCATTAGAACTCAAATTTCTTAAAAGTCGAACCAACCAGTTCGAAAAAAAATGATCTAGAGCTAGATCTGAATCTCAGAAGTCAAACCGTGAACGCAGACCTAAGATAACTTGTACTTGTGGGGATATGAGTCATGCGTCACGTCTCTACGGAAACAAAGGGTAAAGCTTCAGTCTCAGCCTTGCATTAGCTGTGATAGCGTTGTGCATGTTTACACTAGCTGAATACATATATTTAGACAGTAAAAATACATTTAGACAATGATAGATAGTAACAGTAATGATTATATAATAAAATACATTTAAAAATAAAGATTTCTTATTAATTATTTTAATATTAATAATAAACCATTAATACATTTCATTATAATAATATTATCGTGCCGAGCGGGGACGGAACGGAGACAAAGGCGCAGACGTCAGGGTATCTGGGAATATGGGGTTTAATTACAGGTAAGGCAGGCAAAACGCAGATGGGCAATACAATGACCGGACTGGGGAAACAAACTGAAACGCGGACGAAATACAGAGGACTAATGACAACCAGAAACAGCTGATCACACAGGAATTCCACACGGGGTTAACGAGGGGGCGTGGTACACGGAAGGAGCGGACGATCGGGGCAGGACACATTGTTTTTTTTAACTTTACACATTGCTTGGATACATTTATTTTACTTTACAAATTACTGTTTTGATAAATGTGCTTAGATGTGTTTAGTACAGTATATGCTCTTCTTGTTTTATTCGGTTCATTTTGTGTTTAAATGCTAAAAAAAAAAAACATACTTAGGTGTAATTTTTTGAGGCCAGGAACCAATTAATTGGTTTTCCATTATTTCTTATGGGGAAAATTCGATCAGAACTCAAACTTTTTAGGATTTGATCCGGAGTTCTGAACGGATTAAATTTGAGTTCTGAGGTACCACTGTATGTCAATGCGAATATTATATGATTCCTTAAGCAGACTTGAGTTGAGGATGTGACTTCTGGCTAGGGGATGACTTTGATTGAGTGACTGATTCATTTGCAAAATAAAAGGTGTTAGAGGGGCGGGCAGCTTGTGTGGGGAGTAAGGGGGTAGGGTCTTGGAGAGGAGAGCCTTGTTTTTCCAGGAACTCTTGTGTTAAGACAAGGACAACCCTCAATCATACCAGAACTTCCTCATATTCCTGGTCTTCCTGATTGTCATCCTCATTCTCGTCATCATCATCATCTGGTTCAGGCAAGTCTTCCTCATCATCCAACTCTGCTAGAAGTGTGTTGGCACGACAACTGTCCAGGAAGTCTGCGGTGTGGGACAGGGGCAAAAGGCCATGAAGATGCACCATAAGCAAACAAGTAACTGTAATTTAAAGGAATTCAGAAAGCCAGAAAAGGACTGGGGTGGGGATTAATGGGTGAGATCAATATATAAAAAGGAACATTAGGTTTACGGCAATGTTAATTGTGTGTGCTGGGTATGTGTAGTCTGTAGAATGTGGCAGGGGAAGCAGGGTTAGGTGGAAGGAAGATGTTTAAATAGTTGGTATAATCCTAGCATAGCCTACCATAGAGTGAAAACTCAGCCTCCTGACCTGTGTCGCTCTCGCTAGAAGTGGAGGTCAGGCTGGTCGTCAGAGTGTTACTGAGCAACTGGCCGACGGACAAACCTGTGGTTGCCGTGGCTACATTATTGCTGCTGGTTACTATGGAGGTGGACATTGTAACGGTTGAGGTGGTACCAGTGGTTGTGAGGTTAGGAAAGCTCTGAGCACCCATGAGAGGAGAAGCTGCAAACAAAACCAAAAATGCGATTAGTCTCAAAACAAAAAAGCAAGTATTAACTGACTCCAGTTAAATACAAATCTGGCATGCACTGCCACAACACACATTTCACAGTCATACATTTCAATGCATACACACTGACTAAAGCATGATACTATTTGAATAATTATATTTATGTATGCTACGTAACAGAAGAATTCAGGGTCAAAAATGTTAAACTTAGGGGTGGGGCTTGCACTGGTTTGGTAAAATAAAAGTAAAAATCTGAGAAGACATTAGGAGTGAGATATACTTCTAACTGTGCGATGAAACATGATATTGTTCTTTGATATAGAATACTGCTGAGTGTATAATACTGCAGGCAAAAGAAAAACAACAGTGAACAAAAGAATACCTACAGCTAGTTACTACTGCACACAACACAGAAGCTCACACAGGTGAAGCAGGAAGACCAGGCCAAGGCCTCATTTAGTGGCAGAGCAGGAGTGAGCCGATGTTCGGGTGGTGTGACGGTACTCACTGGCAGTGCTCATGACGGTGCGGCCCAGCGTGTTGGTGTTGTTATCGCTGCTGCTGCGGCTCAGGTTCATATTGTTCGTTGCATTGGTTCTCGACATGTTGGGTGCCCGGCGCACAAAGGACTCCATGAGGCTGGCCTCACGCGACGACAGGTTGGGCACGCTAGCACTGGAGCTCATGGGTGCGCCGGCTGCCAGCAGGGAGCTGACAGAGAGGCGGGCACTGGCTGCGGAGCACAGGGGGCGCTGCGATGCTGCCTCCTTGCTGGAGGATTCTGAGACGGAGCTGACGTCTGGTGAGCTCACGCTCACCAGTCCCATGGAGATGGCAGCGGAGTCACCTGCTGGACGCAGCGTGCCGTCAGGCCCCGGCTTGCGCTCGGCACTCTCGCTGCCCATGTCAGCGGTTAGCGTGCTGGTGCTGGAGGCAGAGCCACTCTCAGTTGAGGACAGCACCACAATGGGCTCCTGAGTCTCTGCCCCCAGTGCACCCCCCACTGTGCCCCCCCCCTGCTCAAGTAGGCTCTCGGCCCGTCGCTCCAGCCTGGTGGAGCTCAGACTGATATCGCTGCTGCTGGCCACGCTACACACCGAGCTGCTACTGCCCTTCCGGCTTGAGTAGCTGACCCCCGTCGCCGAGGAGGAGCCACCCTTGTCCGGACAGTTATTTTTCACCAGGCTGCTCCAGGACTGCGCTGGGCCTGAAACAGTGGATGAGACAGGTTTGGGTGACGGCGCAGACTCAGGGTCGTACCCTGGCGCAAGCTTGAGGTCAAACTTTCCTTCTGCACCCATACGGTAAGAGTTTGAGCCACCGGCATCCCAGGTGACATCAATCCAGCCTGGAAAGGGACATGAGTGTGTGAGACCCAGCAGAGTGCAGACAGCAGCAGCAAGTCAAGACAGCAGCTCCACTCGACACTGGACCAGAAGACAGGGGCCTTTAGAGCAAAGGGTCAGACCCTGTGCTTAGCCTCAAAAGCCCTTAAAAATACCAGAGATTAATTTAGAACTTCTCTGTGTATTCTGCCACTTAAGCCATTTCACATTACGATTAGGAGTGTGGAAATCATGAAAAAATATGGCTTTCACTAAAAAGGAAAAGCAGACTACACAAGTTTCTAGTTTGAACCATTTGGCCGGGAATGTAAGCAAATTCTATAGTCTTAGACTAAAAATTCAAAGGCTCTGGTCCAGGTGAAGCAATGGGACAGAAAACATGAGTTACAGAAATGACAAAAAAGCCATGTAGAATTTTGCAAATGCCAAGCTAAAAGCCACTCAGAAAAGAACTGAAGAATATTTTGCTAATGTAAATATTCACTTGCAATGGAGTCCATTTAGTGCTTGCAAATTGTGACATCAACATGCACTTAGCTGACTGATGGAGACAATCTGTTACGCCCTACACATTGAAATGTGACTGCCCAAAGACCCAACTGCTATGTAGGAAATACAAGTATAAAAATGTTACCTGTAAAAGTTGGGAGAGGGGGCACCTCAAAATAGCAAACTAATAGTAACAAAAAGTAACAATTTCCAAGTTTAGTTAAAAGAATACCTAAAAGGGAACTTTATTTTTTATCTGAGTAGAAAGAAAACATCCTGATCCTTTTGGAAGTATATAAAAAAATTACAAATATCATGATAGACCAGCATCAAGAAAAGAGTCACATAGTAGTCAGAGAAACACTGGTTATGTCTTCATATGGATACCTTTAGATATACACCCCTGCTCTATGGATCCTGCAATACATCAGCTCCATGAGAACCAGCAGAATTATACATCAAGACTTGAAAAACCTGGCGGACAGCTTACTAACTGTGCACATAAGTATCTCTCACATAAATTTTACCAACATATATTAACAACTAACATAAGTGTCAGATTTAAACATTCCACTATGAGTGCCAGACAAGACAGAAAAGTGGTTTCTGTTCACCCATATCATTAACATCCTCGACTCCTCAAAGTATATAAATGCACTTGATGTTCACAATTTGTTTTTTTTGTACCACATAAATCTAGCACTGACTCCATTTCTTTGGCTCAAGTCCATGAAGCCTACGCTTTCCCAGGGTGCTGTTAAACTATACTTCTTGAATCTTCCTGCTTGTCTTTTATTTAGTGATCTTAGCAGGGTTGACAGGAATGATAAACTAGACACCTTTTCCAGCAGGAGAAAGACCTGGCGATAAGGTGTAACTGCAGACTGATTAAGGGCCAGGCAAATGGGTTAACAGTTGATGAACATCCAGTAATGCAGAATGTTTGTGTCACCATAAAGCTCTATGCTAGATTCTCCAAAAAAAATTTAAACTAAGGGAATAACCCAGTAATTTTAATATTGTGATATACTGTTAATTACATATTCTGATAAGTAGTATTTATATTACATACTCACACAGGATGATTGGGAGAGGCTCCTGAACCTGTCTTAAGCAAGCTTAATTCTACTCAGCTTCACTGGACAAACTCGCTTCTCAAAGGAAGTGGCCACAATTCTCACCGTTGTGGGCCTCCCCCGTGACGGTGCCCTCTCCAGGTGGATTCCCATCCTGGTCCCTCCATTTCCAGTCAATGCCCCGCACAACGCGGGCGCCTGGAACTATATACTTCATCACTTGGGAGCGGAATAGGCGCCTCTGTCGACGGAGGTTAGCCTCCGCCTCCTTCACAGCCTTCCCTGCAGGCGGCAGAAAAATGTTAATTCACAGAAACGGAAATGTGCATAAAACGGCTTTCACCACACATCAACACTTAATATTTGCACTCAAAGTTCAGGGCAAGTCTCATAAGATTGTTTAGCACATTCCCTACACTGATTTCCATTAGTGAATTAGTCAAATAAAAATATATCCAAAAAAAATTATCATGTCTGAACACATTAGGGTCAGCGAATTGTCAACTTAACAGCCTTTCAAATAAAGTAATGTACAGACAAGCACTTTTAAGGCCAGAAGACTGCCTAACCGCCTGCCCATCCCCCATCCCCCTTTGCCCATGGCATAATGGAGTGCCTCTTGCCCAGCTGGTCCTTACATACTCTGCTCACTGCACCGTACAGCTCCATGTGCCCACCTGTCTGCCCACACCATAATGAACCATGTCTCAGTCAGCTGGTCTTCACATACTCTGCTGTACAGTTCCAGGTCCCTGCTTCTCAGCCTGCCCACCCACTCACTGCATAATGGAGTGTCTCACCCAGTTGGTACTCGCACACTCCACTCATTGCATCATACAGCTGTACGTACCCACCCGAAAACCTGCCTGTGACATAACGGAGTGCCTCTCACCCAGCTGGTCCTCGAACACTCCACTCACTGTGCCTTATACCACTGCAGGTACCCACTCACCGGCCCACGTGCCGGCCCCCTCGCTCACTTGCAGCATAATGGAGCACCACTCACCTAACTGGTCCTCACTCACCTAACTCCACTCACTGCCCCGTATAGCTGCAGGTACCAGCTCACCGGCCCTCCTGCCGGCCCCCATGCTCACTTGCAGCATAATGGAGCACCTCTCACCTAGCTGGTCCTCTCACACTCCACTCACTGCGCCATATAGCTGCAGGTACCAGCTCACCGGCCCTCCTGCCGGCCCCCTCGCTCACTTGCAGCATGATGGAGCACCTCTCACCTAGCTGGTCCTCACACACTCCGCTCACTGCGCCGTACAGCTCCAGGCCTGACAGTGACAGGTAATGCGTCTGCCCGCTAGCGTTCTTCCCCATCTGCTTGATACGGATGTGCCTCCAGCCCTGCTTCTCTTCTTTGGAAGGGTCCAGAGGCCAAGTGGCTGTAGATCTGACACATGGACACAAAATGTCATGGTCATTACAGGATTTTTGCTTAAATATGTCTCCCCTATTGGAAAGATCTTTCTGAGCCTTCCCCTAACAGGGAGGGGATGTCAGAATTAATAACATGGTATTCCCCAGACAGACCCATCACTTGCTCCATCCATCTAATCTGTACTCATGCCACACTCACCAACATGTACAATTTCTAGAAGCACTGGATGGATCACCTGGAAATGTGGAAGTTAATAAACGTGTTTTTATCAGAATGCCTGTGACATGTAGATCTGAAACTACACATATTAATTTATTGTACATTCCATAAATCGCATCCCAAACTGAGGAGTGATCACACAGCACATGACACGGGTGCAAACTCTAATCCTCTCATTTCCCAAAAGACTTAATTGCATGACTACATTGACATGTTCTTTTGCATAAAAAACTGAACAAAATTATGTGACAAATCAACACAATACAAAAAATATTGCCAAAAACGTGTTTACACACTTGCCTGATGGCTGAACTCAAGCTCTGAATGCTGAATGATTAAATGTGGTTAATCACTCCAATATAATTTTGAAAACTATATTACATACAGACTTAGGGGTGAGTGATATCACATTGCAATGTACTCATGATTATTAGGGTGTTTCATTTTCTAAGGCAAAAAATAAAATGTAAAATTTTTGCAGGCTTTGCTTAAGCCCCGAGTCTCAGTGATATAAAACATACATATGCCAAATTTCAAGAAGATTGGATAATATTTAGAGGTTGCACACTTTGATCATTTTGGTAAAAGTAGGCAAAATTTTTCAATGTTAATGACTTTTATTGGGAAAACTAGAAATCACTAACTTAAAATAATATTAAAACTAGACACTAAGATTAATAGGTAGTATGATAGGCAAAACGTATTTTAATCAACTTTGAACTTTGCAATCCCTTCTTTTGTTCGCTTGGTGACGACTTTTCTGTGATGCTCGACTACACTCAACAAGAATTGTTTTTGTTGTTCGTCCCTGACTGATTCGTTTAACTTTTTTTATCAGAGCAATTCCTCTTTCTGCGGTATCATTGACCACCTTAAGAGCGTTCACATGGCTTCTTAGAGAATCAGTGCAGTATTCTGTCACGTCATGGATCCCAAACAATTCAAAGAACGTCTTTGTTTTATTAGTAACGAAATGGCTCAGGTCTTTTCCTTCAAAAACTAGGTTTTTACCCTCTAATCGTTTCATTTCCTTTTTCTTTACAGGTTTGGTTTCTAAATTTTTTTTCATATTTTCCTTTTCAGCCTGAGTAATACATTCGTCCAAAAAAGCCAATCCTACGTTTGTTTCTGACAGATACCAAAGGTGTCTCTTAGCAACTGTGAGAGCACTTTTTTGACATCTGCATCTGGGTAAGTGCTCAGAAGCTGTAGCATATCCAAATCATTCTTTGGAGCCCATTGACTTACAATTGCCTCGTGCCAAAAGCGAACATATATGAACTAGTTTGAGATAAAAGTGATCAATGTGTGCAACCCCTAAATATTATCCAATCTTCTTGAAATTTGGCATATATATCTTTTACATCACTGAGACTCGGGGCGTAAGCAAAGTCATATGAAAATCACATCTTTGGAAAAATGAAACACCCTAATGATTATATATCGCATTTGCAATAATCACCAAGGCTTTAGATAACAGGTGAAACATTTGTCTGGATGCCAGTTTATCAGTATTATATGAACTTACTTACACCCATAACTTGGTAATCAGATTAGTAGTGCACCTAAACTATTAGTAATCTGTATAAATTAGTAATATCCTTATGTTTAATAAACATGCGGGACTTTAAATTGGAAAAAGCACAACCACAACACCCATGTATTTTTTACCTTGTTTATCCATATCTCCTCTTTCAAAAGACGTTATGGCTGCTGAGCTGTCCCTGTCTTCACTGCCACTTCAGTGCTTATCACTTCCACAATATGCCAAAACAGTAGTGTGTGGCATGCTCCCCTAACCAAGTTTTATAAACACGCCAAATTCATACCGATTACTAACTTATGGGTGACACAATACACATCTCATTAATATTTTAGGCATAATGCTAATCTGCTTAAGTACTCATTCACTCAGGCATAAGTAAATATCCATATAGTACAGAAATGCCGGTGTCCTGACAAATGTTTCACCCATCATCTAAAGCTCTGGTGATTATTGTGCATGAGCCATATAATCACAAGTACATAAAGATGTGATATCATGCAGTCCTACATAAGCTATAGATTCCTGTAGAAGGCACTGTATTTCAGCTTGCAGTTTCTGCTGCTAAGGGAAACATGTAACTAAAGCATTAGCCAGTATCAATTTGATTGCTTTTCATAAATCAATATACCAGATAGAGTTAACAGCATGTGACATACCCTGGCTCATTAAGACTACAGTCGTCCACATGGGTATAGAGTGTCATCCAGTTCTGGCCATCCTTGGACACCTGAAATATCCAGTTGCGAAGAGCAGAGCGGCCATAGCCACGTGCATGGCGGAGTGTGTAGGCAGAGGGGATGAACCACAGACCAAGGTCAATGGCAAACCAGGCATTCTTGTCATCATTGGTGTGGCAGTTGAGGGCAGAGCTATCCCGGCTCAGGATGTCCTCTAGACGACCGTACGGCAGGTTCCGGCCTTCTGACGAGGTTACTACCACGAGGCCATAGGCTGCCGGGTTCACCCACTCATAAGCAGTTCTTAAAGTAAGAAAGGGCAGATTGGCTGGTTACAGATACACACTTACATACGGCACTTGGAAAAATAAATCTGAACTTGTTACCCTTGGATGAATAACCTACACGTGTTTAATAAGCATTCATGCAAAAGACAACAGCAAAAAGGAAAGAACATCCTTACTTTGCATTAGTGCCGATCCAGTATATAATTCCGTTCTCGTCAAAGTCATGCTGGTGTTTGAATGTAAACATCTGGCCTTCACGTAGCTTTCTCACAAAGATAAACGAGGACCTGTCGAAGTCATACCACTGCTTTGCAACCTGTCAAAAGAAGAGAAAGTGACATAAATACAGTTTTGTGCAAAAAGCAACTGCGAGAGAAGGTAAGACACTGTAAAAGAGAGTCAATCTCACCATTTTGAGGAGATACTGCTCCAGGGACTCAACAGTGGCCAGTGGCTCCATTTTTAGCATCCGGCCTGTGCGGTCAATGAGTGCCGTCTCACCTGGGGCACGCTCAAGGCGGAAGCGCAATCTCCTGGTCAAAATCTGCATCACCAAACAAAATCCCATTTGTTTGCAACTCTTGTTGGTCCATCTGACACCCTATACAACTTTAAAAGTCATTGGTACTGTGAAATAAATAAAATAATCTATTGCTCATGCGATAGTTGCAATATTATCATGATACCTAGGTGTTGATTTGATATGTATTGCGATTCTGTACGTGTTGCAATTCTATAACTATCCTAATTCAATATTACGATTTTTAGAATTTTAAAACCTTGAACACTGAGCGTAGCTGCTGACTGAATTTTATTGACTCTTTCAAAAAACAGTACAGCTGTTTCAAACGCTTTTCAAATTCAAGTACTGCACAAATTAAATTACTGAACTGTGTATAATTCAAATATGCTATAATATAGTACATAATATATGTCTTTTTGTACTTTCATTGCTAACTTAGTGGCTCGTTTTTGGCAGGTTATCATAAGTTTTGATGAGTCTATATTTGTCATTGAGATAAAATTATTTTCTCTGTCCTGTCATGTTTTCCATACATGCAGTATTAGCCTCAGGTAGCTAGCCAGCAGCAGACGGGTTACTGTAAGGCAAAGTAGCCAATTAAAGAAAGAAAGAAAAAAATAAAAAGAATTATGTATAAAAAGACCTGAAAAGTACACTGTAAGCGGAGTGCTTGATTACTCTAAATGAATAATTTAAAAAGTATTTGTACAGAAATGATTCTGTCCCAAGCTTTTTGAACCATATAAGCATTTGATCACTAGAGATTTTCCACTGTATTTTAAATATTGCTAATGTAAAAGTGTATTTTTTTAAAGCATTAACAGAACAAAAAAAATAAAAAAGTAACTGTCACGCCCAGCTCCGTCCGATCCTCGTGTGTGCCACGCCCACCTCGTTACCTCGTGTGATTCCCGGATTGTCAACACCTGTGCCTTGTTCCGTTTGCTTTTTCCTGTGTATTTAGTCCGCGTCTGAGTACATCTCGTCAGATCCGTCATTGTAGTGTCCGTAGATGTCTGTGCCTGTCTGTCCGTGCGTCAATAAAACCCCATTTACCCGTAAGTACGGCTCCATTCGCCTGCTTTCCGGTTCGCCTGCCCCGCAAACATGACAGTAACCCACATAGGCAAGATTAGAGGTTCTGAATGTGTTTTGATGAATTTCCCAACCCTACAACAGTATAACTTGTAATATTTAGTTAAAAATTAACTTAAAATAAAAAGCTACATGTGCTGCTGTTGTGCCAAACAAACTACTGAGCAGTGGTAATTTTGTTGATGAAAAATTTGTCGTCGTTATCGTCAACGACCTTTATTTTCAGACTAAAATGAGACTATTAACTAAATAAAAATGATTTTGCGACGCCTAAGACTATGATGAAGTGTACTGACATTTTCGTAAACAAATAAAAACAAGACCAACATGTTTGCCAGAGACGAGATCTAGTCAGAACTAATGTAGTTCGCGTAAGGCAGGGATCAGTTAGAAAAAATGTCTTGAAGCAAAGGTCCGGAAGATCATAATGTCTAACTATTTAGTGTGGTATATAGTTAAGTAGCATATTAATTGTATCAACGTCTACTAAATAAAGGTAGGGGTGCATTTCAAGATAAGAGAAAATAAATAGAATGTGAAAATTGTGCATGTTTAAATAAAGTGCTTAAAACCTTAATACAGTCGCGTGTATGTCATATTTTAGCGTTCATGGATTTAAGTATTGGTTTTCTATAATCCCACACCGGTAATAAAATTAAAGTCTCGTTTTAATATACATACAAACATCACTTTAATCGCTGTTAGAATAGGATATGGACGGTCGTTTTATTTCAAAAAGATATAAAAAGTGACGTGTTTTTCTCATATTCCTTTTATATTTGTCAGAGTAACAACGCAAACAGAATGACAAGCCATTTCAGGCAAAAACAGTGCATTTTACTTTTTATTTCAAATAAAACGCGGGGTTGCCAACTTCACCCAGCTGGCTGGAGTGAGATTTTCAATTCAAGATGTCTGCACACATGTAACACTCCTTACCTTGTAAATAGTCTGCTTCTGTATTAAACCGTGTAAATACACTTTGGACGTAGCTAATTTTACGTTTATAATGGCATAATATAGATTTCCCGTAAGATTTCCTGCATGAGTCAAAGCGTATCATGCCAGATGCTTGAGATTTGGCAACCCTGAAAACGTAATTTTTTTGAGTTGATTTATATAACAAATAACATTACTTTATACAGTTGATAAAAAGCAGAAACTTCAACGAACATGAAATCACCAATAAACTACATCTACAAATATAAATTTTAATATTTCTATTTTAATATTCAGAGAGCAGGCCTGGTGGCATTATAGCCTATGCACTGATGATTTTAGTCTGATTTTATTTTTGCACTAATGGCACTACTGATTTTACAGTACTCAGTTATAAATAAATATATGTTTGTGTTTCAAATACAGGGTATATACAGAAAT